TAATGAAGACTCATCGTTGGCAAATGCTTTCGAGTGTCGGCTGGTGTGAGCGTACATTTTTCGCTTATTTGTTTGTTCATTATTTTTGCTGACGTGTGTATTACAGCCACCATCGCGGTCTGAAAGATCAACATTTACCAACACCTAAACCAACGGCAACAACAATAATAGCTACAAGATTTTCGCCAATGCGAACACTTTATTTGCGCAATTATAGCGCTTTATGGCGAGTGTGCTTGTATTTTGGCTTTTACTACCAGCCATTGGCCTTTTGGTTTGCTGAATTCCCACCATCCTGTTGCCAGTTGACTTTGTTTATTTTTGTACGCTATTTACTCAGACGTTATTCATCTTCGTCTATGCGTGGTCACGGCAAAGTGCGCTGCTCGTCGCATTCTTCTGTATGGGAGGTGCGCATTTGTTAGCCCCCCAAATGACAAAGGACACCTTAGCACCAGTAAGCTACCGCGCACCTTCTAAGAATTCATGCTGCCAAATGAGATCCAACGTGAACAGTAGCGGTACAACACAGCGTGTCCTGGGTATACAAGTATTTACAAGCACTTCTCAGCATCTACGGCTAATGTAGATTTTACCGAGAAACATTGCATGACTTTGTAAGAAAGCCATTAGCATTTAAGACACTCATACCCATTATATTTTGTAAGATATCAGAGTAAGCATTTTGAGTTTCATGTATTTCTTTTGGCGTTCTTTGTTCATTTTTTAAGTCGAAATATGCATGACTCCTTAATTCATTAGCAGTTAAATCTTGGCAGCATTTCAATTTTTACTTCGTGTCCCTCAAGTAAATAAGCAGAATTTGAATTGAATAAAATGCTCGATACTTGTAATATATATGCTTAAGTAAATATGTATGAATTTAAGTATTAGAGAGGTCTATGATCCTTAGATCAAGATCGTAAGTGGCCTTTTTGAATTTCAGGGCTTTTTTTTAAAGAGTATCAAAAAAAGTATATATGTATATACATATATATATGAATATTTAAAATATATAGTAGGCCTATAACTATATTCGATATGAAGAAAAATTCACGAAACTCAGCGTATTTTTCTAAATGGTTTTATGGGGAACATACTATAGTTGAGCGAATGCGCCAAAAGTGGTTTGCATGATTTGAAAGTAATGGTTTTGGCTTAGAACCGTGAACCCAAAAAATCATATTAAACAATTGCCCCACCAGCCAAATCAACAGCAAAGTCAAACATCCATGACTTGCTAAGATAATATTTTGTGCGGTTTGCAATAAGAGTACTACAAAAGTTTCGATTTCTTTTGCAAGGCGACCACAAGCACGCTTGCAGAAGCCAAAATGCTGAGTCCGATTTTCGACGGTTCTCAAGCATGCAATTTCACGTTCGATATTCCTACGAAGTTCATCAATCGTCACTGGCTTGTTGGCATATAGTAGACCATAGACTTGACGTAGCCCCACAGGAAATAGTCTATTTCATGCATTAGCGGCAGACTCCGCGACTCACTGACATGGGAACATTTTGTACTCGTACTGTGTTCAGACAGGACAGGACGATTATGATGACCATGAATTGGACGTAGCGCTCTTAAAGCTGAGACCACTGACTCCGAATTTCGATAGTAAATTTTTATCATTTCGTTTCGTTGTTGGATCATATATCTTTCCATCATTGCCATCAAATGCCAAACCTTACTGAAGAGATGTGTCAAAATAGCGGGTAAAAGTATGGCGTCGTTTGGTGTTCCTATCGAATTGCACTTCTGTAATATGCGACTAGACACGAGGTAATTGTTTATTATTTTTACTATTGCAAGAAAAATGTAATGAATCGGACTGGTTTGGTTTTGACCGCGCGTGGAAGTTGCAGTGTTCGTGGAATTCAGAAAAAATCGAAAAAGAGGAATAACGGTGAATGATACGAATCATGTTAGAAAAAAGGCAAACATTACTTATCTGTCCATCCTGGCCGTCAAAAATTCATTTAATGAGTTTCAATGTGGTCACATTTGATTTTTAATAAACATCGCCCAGCTGCCCTTAACGGAATTGCCACTGAGTCGATGATCTTCTATTATTACACCGTCAATGGAAGAATAATCATCTCAAATGACTGATGTAAGAAAGCTTTTGGTGTCGCATTTTTTCACCTCCAACAACAAGTGCAACCGTGAGACCATTTCACAGTGTGGCACTGCTTAATCAAAAAGCGAAAGAGTGATCTATGACAAAGCTGGAAACCAGTTGTAAACACTAACACTAAGAAACCGTCGTAACAGTGGACTTCTTGTGATAAATCTACTCCAAAGGAGCAAAGAAGGAATAAGTTCGGGTTTCGGGTCAAGTTTTTGCTTCATTTTTGGCACAAAGATACACAACTCAAATATTGGCCGACATATGCGGTAAAAATCACACGGAAGTTCGATTATCTTTATATTCGATATATGGGGACTAAGAAAAGTATTAGTCCGATTCAACCCATTTTTGACATACAGACATACCATTGTCAGAGTATTATCCCGGAATTTCAATTATATATCTCAGACATTGACCGACATTTTCTAACAAAAATCAACTATAGGTATCGGGGTCTAGATATTCGCTTCTCGATTTAAGTACTGTAAACTGAACGTATCACAAGGAACTTAAAATTGTGTGGGAAGAAGGCATGGTTATTGTCCGATTTTCACAAATAGGAAAAAAATGCCACGTACCAAATTTTATCGAAATCGGTCAGTCGATCATGAGATATGAGATTTCACCTAAAAAATAGGCGGTGCCACGCTCATCGTCCAATTTTCATACCAGCTCCCATAAAGCCATATTGTTTTATTGCGCTTTTAGTAGTGTTTAAGGGGTTAGGTGGGTTTGAAAATTTCCAAAAATCGTTTTTTTTTTGTTTGCTTTATTAAATTCTACAATACCTCTAGAATATAGTCCTAAATTTTAAAGTTGATCTGAGTAATAATTTCGGAGTTACAGCCTTGATGACTTGCGCACTCAAGGCTAGCTGCGCTAAGTGCCCTCTTTCTTTCAACTCGTTTTTCTCGAAACTGTGTTTTTGAAGTCGGTGGGCACGATTTCTGGAAAAGTTATCGACCGATTTAGTTCGTATTGTGCACACTTTTTTGAAATAATATTATCTAGTTATTGAACGAAGGATTTTTTCTTCTTTCAGTACAACAAAAAATGCCGAAAATTTTACCAAAAATGAGATTTTTTGTTCAAAGTCCGAGAAAAGAAGGACAATTTTAATATTTTTTTATTTCCTACGTTCAAAAACGAGATTTAGATATGTACTAACAGAATATGCTTAGCCAGCAAAACCGATAATAAGTTATGCTGTCCACCGCGAGAGCACTTTTTTGAGAGACACCCAGGGAAATGCGGTCTCAATTTGCTCAATTTTCAAAATTTTTGTATCGATATTTCAGGAGATATTGTTCGAATATATACCTTTGATATAACATATTATATTTTTCAAATACATGATTGCTTGTATTAAAAAAAATCGTAAAAACACCTTTTTTTTGTACCTCTGAAACCCACCTAACCCCTTAACAATACCGTTTTGTGGGGAGTGAGCGGGGTTATCTCCGATTTCAGTCATTTTCACACTGTCAGTAGAAATTCTTAAAAGTTTTTTATTTAGAAAATTTGGTAGTTGCAGCTTCAGCGGTTTAGGATATGCACATTAAGCTTAATAGATGGCGGGCCACGAATATTACTCCAAAAACTGTTTCTCAGTCTACTGCGTTCCCCTTTGCCAAATATCACTTTTATATCTTAATGAGGTGCTTAGTTATGGCAATTTATAGGTTTTCGGTTAATGACGATATGTGGGCGTGGCAGTGGTCCGATTACGCCCATCTACGAACTAGAACTTTTTTTGTACTAAGAAGCCTGCATACCATGCACGAACGAACGGACAGACAGACAGTAACCCGATTTCAACTTTTCTCGTTACCCTGATCATTTATAATATATATATATTTCTATATCGATCTCGACTAGTTTTAGGTGATACGTACAACCGTTAGGTGAACAAAACTCTGTAGCAACTGGTTGCAAGAGTAAAAAGTTGTAGAGTATTCTATCAGCCAAAAATATGAGGACGAGCGATTTCTGGGATTCACAAGGTGTTATCAACATCGACTTCTTGACAGATAAAAGATATTGTCAAAGATTGGCGAAGATAAAACTACTCTTCCATCATAACAAATTTTAGTCGAATGCAGAGCGTATCGCCAACACGTTGGGCTACTTTGCAAATCTCCAGTAAAGAGTTAAAAAAATAGGATATGTGTTATCTAGCTGATAGGGACTTGCTATTAAATAGCTATTTTTCTAAAATTTTCGATTCACCTGTGTAGACTAAACCACTATAATCAGATGTTCTTGACCTACTTTTAACCACGTTATTTAAAGTTTTATAGAAAAATGAATTTAGTTGATTTTTCGGCGGTTAGGAATGATGTGATTGTTAAAGTTATTCAATTATTATTACTTTTAAATTAGTGCCATGGCGAATTATATATGAACTTAAGATAAATTAAAAAATTAAACTAACAAATTGCCATAAAACACTACACTAAATTAATTTGCTAAAATTGAGGGCACCGTCCTCAAGACACATGTGTCTTATTTAACTTTCCGAAGAGCTTTGCAACACTTATTTAAAAAGCTGCTTCACTTAGCTAAATGCTCGTCCTATATATCCACAAACAACCATATTAGATGCTTGAATTAAATATAGCCGAGAGTTAATTGAAGCTGTCACTTGTCAAGCTAACCAAATTTAAAATTGTGATGGAATAAATGGAATACAAACGCAACTTTCATTAAAATGGTGACGCCAAAACAAAATGAGAAAAGACGAAAAAGTGACGTGAGACAAAGTTGAGACACCCTAAAACTTTTGGCTTATATCACGTGTGTATAAGCATTGCATTTTACATACATATACAGACATTCAGTTGGGGATTAGTATGTCGGAGGACTTACCATCAACGCCACATATCCATGCACACCATTGTAGGTGCGCAGCATCTGATACAATTCACCCGTGCAATAGTCATGACATTTGGGTAGAGTTGTCTCCTGCGTGTGATTGGGATTCTTGTACTTCTCCACTAGTTTCATGAAATCTCGAAACTCATCGTCGGTTACCAGTTTCTCCCAATTAGAGAGATTCACATTGGGCAACAAGTCGGAGGAGAGCATCGCGTGTGCTGCCGCACTCAATAAAGCGGTATTCGATGTCATCTTTTTGTTTTCGTTTTGTTTTGCCCCCGGTTATATGAGTGGAACAACGGAGGCGTCCTTGTTCAATTAAGAAGCAGGAATTAACTTTTCCGTTGCGTGAGTGAAAAGTGCAAAAATGTGTTTGGCAAACTGAAAAAAGCGAAATAAATATTTCGGTTAGAATTTGTAATTTCTTGCGGCTTAGATTTGGGGTTAGATTTAAAATTTATGTGACATATATAATACTATAAGAGTAATTTGTAAGATAAGTGCATGACTTTTAAAAATATACTCTATGAAATTTTAAAATATTTAGTTTTATTTTTATAAATGCCATCAGTATTTAAATTGTACTCAAGTGAATACGACTACATGGGCCAAGGTAGATGTAAAACCTGCAATATCAGCATATCCAATCTTCTGTGATATTATAGGTATATTCGAAATCATCACTGTAACCATTATTGTATTTTTCGATATTTTTTGTTCTGGATTTCTTAAGTGATCTTCAACTGAACTATACAAAAGATCTAGAAGTGAATATCTTTGCCAAAAAGAACCAGTGCGAATTGGGAATCTCATCGTCTTGGAGTTCAACCCAGAAACCTAACTATATAATTATAAACAATATTTCAGGATATGCTCGAAACATTCTAGTGAAGAAGTCTAATCGAAATAGATGTAAACACTGACGGAGGACCATTAGTCTTCTAGAAAGTATACACACCACGTCAGTAGTATTGACTGCTAAATAAGGATCATAAGCACTATATTGTTCGAATATTCGTTCTTCGTGTTACGTACAAACTTCTTAAAGTGGATCACCAGATCCTCATAAATCGACGAAGTGTGTTGTGTTTACCACAAATTTATTAAGACGGTTAATATAGGTTGTCAAAAAAGTCTTGCGGTATTTTCGCTAGTTGGCGCTGAGAGCGCGTAGTTCTAGTTTTATTCGTCGCATCAGGTCATGCTATACCTTTTTGGAAAGCTCATTTCACGCGCTAACACGTGTTTGATTGATTGTCGCTCCGGAAGGCCTGTCGTCGAAAATTGCGATAAAATCGCTGAATTGGTCGAAAGAGACCGGCATAGTAGCAGCCGTAGCATCGGTCAAGAGCTGAGCATGAGTCATCAAAAAATTTTTTATGAACAATTGAAAATTCAATAAAAATACCTCAATACTTTTTTGACAACCTATTATTAATCGCAGCAAATTCGCTAGGCGCGGCTATGGTGTGTCTGGAGATATTTCAATCTTAGTCTGACAAAAGATGGGCAATAAAGGAGAAAGTGAAAAAAATTATTTCACCTCGCCTTCCTCCACACAGATTTGGTTTTTGGCATGTAAACCAACTGAACAGTGTGCCGGCAGAATATCTATAATTGTGGCCAGATAAGAACCAATAGTTTGCCTTACTTTTCGGATCACTTTGCGCCAGAAGAATCTCACCATCGCACTTCTAGTTCTTGACCACTAATTGCTGAGCTCACTGGATGTCCAAAGGTAGAACGATAGAACACAAGAAGACAACGTAAAAACGGTTCGCTTTCAAAAGGATGAAATTGAGGAAAGGGTATCCCCCCAACATGCTTATCGAATTTGGAGTAGCGTGAAGTTATTACTAATGAGATCATTCACTCCTTCACTAACTTTGAGCGCAAAGTCAGCGAGCTTAAAGGTAGTATAGATGCTCGACTATTGGGGTGAATGCACAGCTCGCTGAAGGTAGCTGCACCTCGGAGCAGTATATCTACTGCTGTCCTGATGGCAGCCACCTCTTCTTGAAAGACGCTACAGGCTCTGAAGCCTGAATAGGAGCTGATGGAGGGGCACCGACAGAAGACACCACTCTATCTTCCTCTTAACTTCTACGAAAAAGGACAATTCTGAATTCGTCTACCCCGCAAATAGATCGAAAATCGACGCATGAAAAATTTTAGTGTGTCATTGCCCGGGGTGCCTCATATTACTAGGTTCTCTAAGTCTAATAGCAACAGTCCTCGCTAAGGATATTGGTTGATGTTTTAACTGTTTTTAGGAAAAGTAGTTAAAGTTAAGAAGAAGGAGTGGTCGTAGTTTAACTTTGTCATTCTGATCAGTTTCAACAGGAACTCAACTTATATTTCGATAATTCTTGGAGATGGGCTAAAGTACAAGGTGCGTTTCAAAGTAAACAGAACTTAAAAAAAAAGAGCAAATGGGTTTTTCGGCAAAATCAATTTATTTTATTCAAAAGAGTCTCCTTCTGGTTCAATACAGTTTTTTGCACGGTCCAAAAGCAGTGGCCGCCAGTATGCCGGTGCAAGCCTTTTGTATGGCCTCTACGTCTGCATAACGCTTTCCTTTTCCGAAAAGGAAGAAGTCGCATGGTGCCATACCAGGTGAATACGAGGAGTGTAAAGGAAGTTTTTGTCCTTTTTGACATCTTTAATGATGTCCTTCGAATAATGGATTTTGAGCAATTTTTGCTCGTCAGTCAATTTGTGCGTAACAAACCGGGCACACAGCTTTCATAAGCTCAAATGTTCGGTCAAAATGCGATAAATCGATGTTTTTTACAAGTTCAATTCCATTTCCATGAATTTCAATGTTGATTTCGGCTGATTTTCGATTGGCCCACATGTCATTTGTGTCCTCACGACGCTACGGGATAGGCAGTCATCGCCATAAACTTGTTTCATCCATTGAAACGTTTCGGTAAAAGTTTTGCCAATTTTAAAACAAATTTGAATGTTGGCTCTTTGTTCGAAGCTTTTTTTTCGCACCAATAACACAAGCATAAACGCAATAACTTCATTTTCAATTGATGAAATGTCATGAAATTCTCACTGGACAATCGATAAAGATAGCAGATTTTAACGCACCAGTCTCCATATAGATGGTGCCAACAGGGGGCGCTAGATTCAAAAAGTCCTGTTTACTTTGAAAAACACCTTGTAGTATATTTTTGTGAGAATTCACAAAAATTTCTTACGTAGACTATATTCACTTTACTAATTTTATTTATTTAATTTAAACTGAAAAATAAAACAAACTGTTCTCATAATTTTTGTAATAATTCTTAAAAGACATTTCGATTAATTTTTCGCAAAACAAAAAAAACAAAATACAAACAGAGCTAACAACGAATAAATATTTTTATGCAATCATTTGTCGCTCGCCATTAATATCTCAATTAATTTTCCGTCAACATTGCGTGCATTAATTGCGGCAATTAAAGTCGCAAGATTGGAAAATTTATGTTGCTAATTTAAGCGGCCGGCGGCTGGGCGTGAGCATAACCTGTTGATCTGGAATCAATACCATTGCAGCAGCGCATAATTGCCAGACATAATTGCTGCAGCTACTGCGAATATTACACAGCACTTTTATAGCAAAAACCAAATCAACCAATTAAAGTTATATTTAATTATATCTCATATATAAATAAAAGTTATGATCTGATTAGGTTATTATATGTTCAAGGTAAATATTAGCTAATGGTATTAAAGCCAATTAATGACCAAGCTATTATAACCCGGCGTACATTGAGTTTGAACGGGTCATTCGTTGCTGATTAGTTGGTGTCGTAAGTACTCTAAGGCACAAAGTCTGCAGTGAAAGAGGTAAAGTCATCAAAGACGTGCTTCATGCGAGTCGTCCATTCACTACTTGAAAATCTCCGAAGTGGTATCATATGCAGAGATAACAGAGGATCTCGACGTATCTTGTGAACCAACTTTAGACCTTTTGGTTAATGGGTTAAGCATGAAGCGTGTCAATGTTCGTGTCAAAAGACCTGAATTGTTCTGCCAAAACAACAACGAGAGATAGATGTGAACATATTTCTTAAAATTTTTTAACTTAGTGTAATCGGCTCTCAAAACTTTAAACGCGTTTTCAGCGTCGGTGCCAAAAATTTTTCCTAAACAGTTGAACCGATCGACTTGGAATTTTCAGACGAACTCATTCGTCATTCGTCATTAGTAAGAGCTATGATAAAATTTTCCATTTTTTATGTTCTTTCGAATATATGTAGTATAATTTCTATTTACAAAACACGACTTTGTTTAGGAAGCAAAATATTTATTAGTCCTTCGATCATTACCTCTATTCATCTATATTAATAATATATTTTGTTGGTTTTTGAATTGAGACAGTTTTAAGCAGAACAAGTAAGGAAGGGCTAAGTTCGGGTGTCACCGAACACTTTATACTCTCGCATGATAAAGTGATAATCGAGATTTCAGGTGTAGTTGTGAACCGATTTCATCCATATTTGGTACATGTTATCAGAAAATATTATATACCGAATTTCATTGAAATCGGTCGAGTAGTTCCTGAGATATGGTTTTTGGTCCATAAGTGGGCGACGCCACGCCCATTTTCAATTTAAAAAAAAACCTGTCTGCAGCTTCCTTCTGACATTTCTTCCGTAAGATTTAGTGTTTCTGACGTTTTATGTTAGTCGGTTAACGCACGTTTAGTGATTTTCAACATAACCTTTGTATGGGAGGTGGGCGTGGTTGTTATCCGATTTTTTCTCTACACAGTTTGGTTGACATAGCTATAGTAGTTTTCGAGATATGTACAAAAAAGTTAGTAGGGGCGGGACCACTCCCACTCTTCCAAAAAAATTACGTCCAAATATGCCCCTCCCTAATGTGATCCTTCGTGCCAAACTTCATTTTAATATCTTTATTTATGGCTTAGTTATGACACTTTATAGATTTTGGGTTTCCGCCATTTTGTGGGCGTGGCAGTGGGCCGATTTTGCCCATCTTCGAACTTAACCTTTTTATGGAGCCAAGAAATACGTGTACCAAGTTTCATCATGATATCTCAATTTTTACTCAAGTTACAGCTTGCACGGACGGACGGACAGACGG